TTAGTACAGTTCAGAAGGACGTTACTAATGAAAAACTTAAATCACCCGGATCGTCACCATGGTGGTCAACTGCTGTTAACCTTTCTTATCTTAAAAATGCCGCATCTAAACTTGGAGATCAATGGAAAGATAAATATGACAAAGCTCGTGACTATCTTTCGAAGGAAATAGGAGATGCTGACGCTGAAAAAGAACTTTTGGATATCACAGATAATTATGTAGTCGACAATTGCGCTAAAAAAGTCATTAAGGACAAAAAGAGGGCTGGTATTGTACATATCCAAACATCAACAACTCCCGATAAATGTGAAGATGTTGTATCTAAACAAAAAGATGACGGATCCTTCGAGTTAAGTGATACTATTTGTAAAGAATTAGAAGTCCCTACAGAAGAAAAGGAAGTTGTAACTGCAGTCAAATCTTGTACTCCTAATGAAAAATTACAATCACCTGAGTCCGATCCATGGTGGAAAACAGCACTTACTATAAGTTTCCTTAAGGTGGCCGCGCCTCATCATAAAAATCAATGGGAAGATAAACATGATAAAGCTCGCGATTATTTATCTAAACAAATTGGAGATGCTGATACTGAAAAAGAATTATTAGATTGCACTAATAAATATGTGGTCGATAAAGCACACGACAAAGCTGTTAAAAATAACATTCCAGTAGATGTTATTTACGTTACTAAACTTGATTTTGATGATGTCACTGTTCGAAAAGTTCATGAAGGTTTACGTGAATGTTTACCTTCCGCTGATGTCGATATACCTAGTATAATTTGCGATTCTCAGCAAGAAGACGGTTCCTTTAAACTAAGTCCTTTTATAACTGACCATCTCAAGACAGAACCAGATGACGTTGTTGAATCCCATAAACGGTTCGTTGGTAGTCCCCGACTAAGAGGATGTGATGATTCTGTTTGGAACACAGCTTTTACGATCCATTATCTTAAGAACATGTTACCAGATCATGAAAATAAATGGTGTGATGCCTGTGATCGCGCTAGTAAATGGTTATCTGAACAGATCAATGACAAGAACTTGGAGAAGGAAATGTTTTCTGCATGTAAACAACACTTAATTAAACAAGGAAGTCGTGTCCTTTATGCAACTAAACGAAAAAATAGAGAAAGTTTTAAGGTTATGAAGCTTAATGTTGACGACGATACACGTAAAGCAGTTTTTGATCATTTACGCTCTAAAGGCACAGAAGATCTTGCTCGTTCACTTTGTTCTGCGCAGGAAAGCAATGGCACATTTTCACCACAAACATTAACCACATTACATCCATTAATTCCTTCACCGAAAAGTGCAGTTGAATCTCTTAAATTTTTTGTTAGTAGACCAAAACTTAGAAATGATGTTGATTCAATTTGGCATACAGCCTTTACGATTTATTACCTTAAAAATGTTTTGATTGATCATGAAGATGAATGGCGAAATTCATGTGAACGTGCCAGCGCCTGGATAAGTGAACAGATTGATGATGCTGAATTAGAAAAGGAATTATACTCAGCTTGTGATCAATATTTGATTCAACAAGGTGTTGATTTAATTAACAAAGAAGGTGGAATTACAGAAGAGACTCAAGAAGAGGTTGATGTTATTGTACTTCAAGTTAGCGACGAAACACGTAAAGTCGTTCATAAGAGTCTTCGTGATGATGTCACAGACGAAGTCGCTCGTACAATTTGTAACTCACAAGAGAAAGATGGTTCATTCACCTTGCATAAACAAATTTCTGACCATCTCAAAATCCATTCAATCGATAACGCTGTTGAATCACTCAAACGTTATGTAGGAAGCTTGCACTTGAGAGGTTGTGATTCACCTTTATGGTGTACAGCTCTTACAGTAACATATCTAAAAACCGTGTTGCCTGACTGTGAGAAAGAGTGGAAACCTGCCTGTGAACGTGCAGCAACGTGGATTAGTCAAAAATGTAAAAACCCTGAAGAGGAAAAAGAATTATACGCAGCATGTGACCAATTCTTAATTAAACAAGGTATCGAAGTCCTTAATGAAAAAAATAGACAACAACCACGTCGTTCTAAAAGACGATCAGTAGTTAAAGGAGATTCTATTCAAGTTGTTACAATTTCAGCAGATGATGAAACTCGCAAAGCAGTGTATGACTTCCTTCGTTCTCAAACTACCTCAGGGCATCCTCGTACACTTATAGCTTCTCAGAAAAATGATGGATCATTCCCGCTTCATGATTTAGTTTCTGAACATCTTCAGATTCCAGTAGCTCATATTAATGAACCTATTAAACGTTACGTTAGTAGCCCAGCTCTAAGAGGGTGTGATACCTCCGTTTGGAATACAGCATTTACAATTACATACATAAAAATCGTGTTAGATAAATATGAAACAGAGTGGCAATCAGCATGTCAACCCGCTTTAGGATGGGTATCCGAAAAGATAAAGGATAACGAATTAGAAAAAGAATTATTTGCAGCATGCGAACAATACTTGTTTGAATTAGGCTTTGACCTTCTTAATAAATCCAAAGAAACAACTAGATCTGTCGATGTTCCACCCACTCGTTACGGATCTGATGGTGGAATTCTTTCACCAAATAATGCGTATCTCAATTCAGAATTAATTGTTGTTGGAGCCGCATGCACAGCTAACCGCAAACTCAAACAGAGTTATTCTGAAACCGAGAGACCGGCTAAAGAGAAGGCGCGAGAAGAAATTTCAGTATTTGCAGAACAAGAAGTCGACAGATTATTTGCTAATAATATCACACATAGCAATAAGGAAGACGTGTTGCAACGTGCTAAACGAGCTGCTCGCTTCTTGATTGATCAATATTATGAGGAAGGCGGTTGTTCTTAAAATTTTTAGTAGGATATTATATATTTTTTTATTACATATTTATTTAGGATATTTATTTTTATATATTTTATATTTTATATTTTATATTTATATTTTATATTTTTTTATTTTATATTTTTATATTTTGGACATTATTATTATTTGATGAATGAGTGTAAAGGCAAAAATATAAAAGATGTAAATGCAAGAATATAAATAAAGAATATTATATTCAAAGAGTGTTAAGCCATACATAGTTTTTTGATAAAAATGACTTTCTCGCATTATCTTTTTCGGAAAACTTGGGACATATCAAAATATAAGAAGTGGATTTAACCAACAAATGCATATTATAAATTTGAATTGCTGATTTTAAACGCACCAGCTCATAAAAAAATTTTTTTAAAGTGTATTTAGACAAATGCTAAAGTAAATTGACTATTATCAGTAATTTTGTGAACCTTAGGATTCAAGACCAAAATTATTGAAAATGGATCAATAATAGTTTTTAAAATATACTTCAGTAACAAAAAAACTCGAAAAAAAAATTATCGCAATACAGTGCCTGTATCTTAAAAATGAACCTTTTACGAAGATTTTTTGCTTAAACTAATGCTAGGGTTCGAAGCATTCATGAAATAATCGCTGAAGGTTTTCCACCTTGAGTATTTTTGTCGTAAAATTATTACGTAATTGATTTTGCAAAAAAATTTTTTATTACATATATAATTAAATTACAAAATTGTACAGTATTATTTAATCTATTAAATAAAGATTGTCTTGTTTGGATAGTTACATTTCAGCATTTCTACAAATTATTACAACTCTTAAAATTAAAAACTTATTATAAACTTTATATTTCTCAAAGTTGATTCATTGTTTAAAGGTCAATATTTTGAGCTCAGGCTCGAGATGTGAAATTTAAACAAACACATTATATGCATATACGTATTTAAATTAAATATTGAATATCATTTTGCGTTATGATTGACCGAGAGTGGGAGATGCGTTAAACAACTATTTAACTTTGAATAAAATGTATAGAAAAATAAATTCCTTTCTTTATAATCTATTAAATTCTTAAAGTTTAAAATATCACGTTTTATCAGTTCTATATACTATTCAAGATCAAAAATTTTCTTATTAAATAAATTTTGATTTTATTTAAAAAAATAATCAAAGTGTAACGAACGACGAAATCGTATTACTCTTAAATAATAAATAAATAATGCAATCGTAATAAACGATGAAATCGTACTACTACTCAAACAAAAAACCGTAATATAAGCGTACGAAATAACGAGTTTCGAATCGTCTCAACAGAAACATCAACAAACATCACAACCATAACGAAAGCATCAACAACGTAATAGCTTCAGCACCTCTAATATCGACGACTCTAACTACGAAACTTCAATAATGACGATTTCAACGACGAAATTACACCTAAAAACAAAAAACTATCAGTAAATACAAAAAATCATAAATTATAAAAAAAAGCAACATCTTAAACGATAAACTTACTCGATCACTAGATTCGTAATATAACCAAATAATCTAGTCAATATTTGAAATATAATAATTTAAATTAGTATTCTTATGTGCCCCTACCTCGCACATAAGTGTCGTAACCAACCTTATTCAAGTTACGTCCTTTTAACAAAAAAAAATTTAAAAAAATTATTTTTATAAAGGTGTTCCAACTCTATAAGGGTGTTCCGACTCTATAAGGGTGTTCCAACTCTATAAGGGTGTTCCGACTCTATAAGGGTGTTCCGACTCTATAAGGGTGTTTCGACTTTATAAGGGTGTTCCGACTCTATAAGGGTGTTTCAACGCATGACGCTCGCCGCTTAGCTTTTTTGACTGTTTAAGAAAGAAACATAACTATCCTCCTTTGGAAGTAGTAGTTCTTAAACAAGATAATTCAAAAAAGCTAACGCTAAAAAAAAGAAAATTTTTTAACTTATATAAAAAATTTAATTGAGTAATCACATAATTAATCACTGTGATGCGTTCAAAACAATCAACGATCACGTTTACAAACAATACGTGCAAATAACGCATCACAATCAACAATCGCGTTTACATGATTAACGTTAATCACCATGAGTTTAAACCAATCAACAATCGCGTCTAAACACAAATATATTTGTATTTGTGTAACTTAACGCTCATATGACTACTTAAAGACTACACAAACTTTAAAAGCCAATAACTTTTGATCTAAAAAAGATATTTTAAAAAGGAAGCCACTATT